GGGACAAGACAGGTCTCACTCTTTTTGTGTTAATTCCGAGCAACGGCACACAATATTTCAAAGTTCGTGGATGTGTCGAGACAATCAGCTAACCGATGCTTGCTTGCCCTTTAGCCCCAAGTTGCTGCGACAAAGATGATGGACCATTGCTTATCAACAGATCCAACCAAACTACCACTTGAGGACAAGAGTAAGAGCCTGCCTTCGGGTCCCGAAGCTCACGCAATACCACCTAGTAAGCGGCTCGAAAGCCTCGCTCTAGAACTGTCGAGACGTAGCCAGAAGGTGCCGGACCCAAGTTCGCCAGACTCTCCGTCCTTCTGCCGGAGTTTTTTCTGGCCAAAAAGATCAGATGAGTCGTTCCTTCCATCTTCTCCGGAAACATCGTTAAGAAGACCGGCTTCCTCCTATCCGACGGGACCGAGCCAGAAAGACACCCGACCGCATCTAGAACACCTTGGCCGTTATCTTATCATTTTGCCCTAATTCTTTGCACCAGTTAAGCGTTTCGAGAGGATCGTGACCTTCTCAAATCCTCTTCCCAACACCCATGCACTTCATGCCACCGCTTTCTGAAACTTCTCAGTCTGCATTGGCATAACAATTACCTTTTTGTGATGTACTACAGATTCTTTGAAGTCCTCAGCTTTTCCCCATGTGTGAACTTGGTAGCGCACGAGAACATCACCCTTTCTTCTTCCTTCCGTGATACACGAGCCCGACACCTTCTCGGGCGCGTTTGCGCAAACGACCCCATCTGATTTGGTTGCGCAGTTTCCTTCAGTCACATACCCCACTCTTACATCCGCCCAGTCGCGAACCTACGACCGCGAGTCCTCAGTGACAGATCCTGAGATTTAGTCGAGTTTCCTCGGGGAGTATTTCTCTCGCCGTCCCATACAACAGCCCAAAGAACGACAGCGCCAGAACACAAGAGCACAGCATCAGGAATGCCAAGATACTACGTCGATGGCGGGTACCATTTACCGATTCCTGCAACACATTTGAGATTATTCCCACCTTAGAAGCTGTAAAGTCACCCTCGCCTCACCTTGCGCTTCAGAATGTTCGGAGTCGCCTGGGACGATCAAACACAGCAGCGTCTTGCTGAAGAGACGCGCATTGCTGAAGAAGAACAGAAGATGAAGGAACTTGAACTTGGAAGCCAGGATGGCAGGAGTGTGATTGGATCGGCCATTACACGACGTTCCTCCTCCACAGCGGGCAAGTCTGGTGCCACGAGTCACTCAAAGGGTAGCACTGTATCGAAGCTTAAGAGGGCCTTCCTAGGAACACGTCTGTCCGACAAATCTGACGACAAGCAGCGGCCAAGCTCCTACTACGCCCCCTCCTCGAGGCTGTCCTCCATCTTTGCCGAGAACAACTACATCATTTCTGGCAACTCAGACCAATTGGTTATTCCTGATATCAACCGCACCGACGAGAGTGGTGGGCTATCGAAAGTGCATACCATGGAAGATCAACCGACGGCGCCCGCACCGCCAAAGCAAAGCCAAGAAATCACCGCACTAGAAGAACTTGAGGGCTTGAAAACGCCCCAATCCAAGCCGCCAACTTTCGTCATTCACACAGCTCCTTCAACGCCGGAGGATGCTGGAAACCATACTTCTACTGATGACCCGCCAACTACAACACTGATCCAGTGGTTGGATGAAGACTCGTATATAACGAGGACAACCACTGTCACATACGAGCCTCGAGGCGACGCTGACGTGAATGATCAGGTAATCGAAACCACCATTTCAGCCGATCCCTCGCCCTTTTCTACAACCAAGGGCTCAAAACTGCGACCTACGCCCCCCATTGTTCGTCCTACGGCACCAGCTGCGGATGATGTGGTTCCATCATTCTCGTCTCTTGTCGACAACTGGTTCACCGCTCTTCAGGGCCCCAGTAGAGCCGTCTTGCCGAGTCCTCCAAGCGCGAAGAATAACGACAAATCCGGCCCAAGCCGCGTCATCAGATCAGCCGAAGCTCACGCTCCGACCTCAACCCAGGACTTCCATCCTGTTTCCAAGGCCCCAAGTCTTCCTCTAAAGTCGCCCAAGCTCAGAGCAACCAACCCGGATGTCTGGAAACCACCCCATGATTGGGGATGTCAATCAACCACGGAGTTATTTCCGAAGACCAATGAGAAGCAGGACAAACTCGAAGTTAGCAAGCACGATCAAAAGAACAAGAACGTAGCCAGAATACAGAAGGACGTCGAGTTCATCGCCATATCCAGCCCCAAAAAGGTTTTATCTCGCCTAACGCAAGGATTCGGCGAAACGTCCGACACCTCGTCACATCTTCAAGAGGAGCAAGACAGGAAGCGCTTGATGCTTTCGGTACTCTACGACATGTGCGGATCTACTGCGACGGTGGTGGACACGGCGAGCCAACTGGATCAGAGCGTTCTCTGCGCCGCTGGACAAAAGATCCTCGCCTTATTCGAGTCTGAAGGTATGCCTCCTTTGATACTAAACGCTTGCTGTTCTCTGCTAACCGTCGCAGCAACTGCGTCTTACCTAGCTGTGACTTTCTCAGAAGCCGCAATCACCCACCTCTCGCTCTCTCCGCTGCCCCATGAGCTATTCCCGAACGTACATCCTCTGTTTGCACCACCCAACAAGGCGTCCATCTCTTTCGCAGCAAACTCCTTTAACACAGTCTACTGCCTCTCACTGCCGTCACTGGTACCGGCTCATGAGATCCTCGAAGTTCTCAAGCAAATCCACCGCTGCCTCGCTCCCAATGGCATTCTGCAGTTAGTGCTGCTTGATCCCTTCCCAGTGGCAAGGAGACTTGGACCTCGGACAAGAAAGTGGTTCGAGAAGCACATCCTTTCGAACCTGCAGTCGCAGTCTCGCTGTGTCAGACCAAGTGCGATCTTCTCGGGGTTTTTGGAAGAGGCGCAGTTCCGCGTCTGTGAGGAACCAAGCACCAAGATAAAGTTCTTGGCTATACCCCCGGATCCTACAGATATGTTCATTGAGGGTCAGCAGCGTATTCAGGAAGAGCTCCGAAGCGTCGTGGGCAGAATGCTTTGGCAGGAAATCTGGGGTAAGATGGTGACTGGTGACGATAACTGGTGGGATGATCCCGAGTGCGTTGAGGAGTGTTCCAGGCTTGGAACCTTCTTTGAGTTCAGTCGTATCGAGGCTGTCAAACTCACCGATGCTGAGGTTCTAGGAGGCTTCAGCGTCGGCTGCTGATGTTGAACCTGGGAAATGCTCGAGGTCGCAACGCAAATAATCAGACACATTCAGCTTGGAGGGTTATTTGGCGGCTATCTGGGAACATGAGATTTGTTCTGTAAGGCCATTGTTTGTTGTTCAGGGGACTTTAAGACCACTGTCTTTCCTTTTCATGTTGACCGTATGCTTGCTTCAATCTTGCTTTTACGAATGTCTTGATACCATGGTAGGCAATGTCGGTTATGAATAGGTGTTCAGGATCGGTGTATCAGTTGTACAAGACGAGAGAGTGATAACTTGAACGTACAGATGGAACTTGTCACTTGCTATGACCGGATATAAGATTGTCGTATCTTTTCGATGTTTCAACAAGGCTTCATGCCAGTATATTGTTGGTGAAACCAGTAGAGCAAATGTCCATAGTCAAATCAGATGCGGTTCAATACATCCTCTGGCATGTATCGTCCTAATGTGCTTCTTCCATATAAATAAAGCTTGATGTTAACAGATGCTGCTGGCCTTAACAAAGCCAGCATGGACACTCCACCATCGATACTCGCCAGCAAATGATCAGCTTCTTTGAATTATTGCCCCTCAATCCAGAGAAAATCAACTTTTCACATAGGAAAGAAATGAATCACAAAAAATGATTGCAAAATCAAGCAACAGCCCTCCAAGAAATCACACCTCCTAGCCGAGCTAGCCCAGACCAACGACGCAGGCAAGTAGTACAACCCTAACCCTTGATCAACACTAGATTTCTCCTCGTTAGGTCCATGAGTGGTCCATGAGTGGTCCATGGTTAATAAACCCAAAATCCATTTGCTTCTCAACGGTTACAGCCACCGGGACGCACTACGGTTTATACCTTTTCTCCCCCCCTCCACTCCTTTATGTCCGTCATAGTGATGATGATCTGCTCAAAGGGAAAAAGGAAGGGTAGATGGATGGTTATAAGCCGCGAGTACGCCTCCGGACTGTAACTTTTTATTTATTCTATATCCATTATTTCTTGTTTTTTTGTATGTCTGGTTGGATAATGGATGTTCGAGGAGAGAGTGAGTGCCCTGTGGAGGAGGAGTGGAACGATGCATGAGGCCTACTGCAGTTTTGATGGCATGTTGGCCGAGGTGGTTGCATGTTGCATGTTGCGCTGTGAATTGAGGAGAATTTGACCAATCAGAGGGCTGGAAGAAGGAGAGGGAGTAACCGGATGGGGAATAGCGGGAAGTTCGACGAGGTGCGAGTTCGAGTCTTGTTCGAGGCAGAATTTTGGTCTTTTTTTTTCTTTTTTCTATTTGGCTTGTGAAGGCAACATCTCTAAATACATTTTGCAAACACTCGTCAACATTCTCCTTCAATGCAATCAGACATAATCCAACCTCTCCTTAGTCCACCCCGGCTGCAAATATTCTCCATCAAATCTGCTCTCAAAAGACGATTCGATCGCGTACCTAGTGACCAACTCAATATCTACCTTTGCTCCCTTTTCCGTCTGCGCCCATACCGCGAGACCAATGACATTATCCCCACCATGATTCAATACGCCGGCAGGAACAGGAAACACGTTCTCCGAAGCAATTGAAGGGTAATACCGTCCGTACTGATACCCGTTGACATACAAGAATGTGCGATAGTTCAGGTTGGAAGTGTCAACGGGCGTGAATTTGAATGCGAAAGATGCATCTACCCCCTTGGGGACGTCAAGAGGAAGAGAAGTACGGTAGAAGCGGATGGTGGCGCCGGTGAAGCCTTGCGCCGGGGAGGTGGTTGATGGGCTGGACCAATGGGAATCGTCGAAGCTCGGGAGGTGCCAGCCTAGACGTTCGGCGGAGAGACCGCCTTCGTTGTAGTGAGTGCGGAGAGGGTCGAGGGTGCTGCGGCTGGGATCGGAGCCGCCCGCTGTGCCGGCTAACTTCCAGAGGTTGAACTTGGGTGTAGTACTTGAGTTGGGGCTCAGAAGAGTTGCGTTGAGAATTCCGCGCGGGTTGAGGGCTGCGGAAAGTTGATCGTGACCTGTGTCGTCGTGCATTACGAGGAGGACGTTGGTTTGGTTGGTGAAGATGGGTGTGTTGGCAAAGGAGAGGGTGGCGTTGCTGGCGGCCACTGTTGGGTCACCTGTATAAGAGCCCAGAAATTTGCCGTTAAGGAAAGCAGACCAGCTGTGTGCAGTCCCTCCTTGAATGTTGAGGTAGACACCTGTGGCTCCGGACTCGCCAGAAAAATGACCGCGCCAAAGTCTGATACCTGTGTGGAAGCCATACTCGTCAGAGAAGAGGTAAGGCACGGTACCTTTGGTGGCGCTAGATGTTGTGGTGTGGTTGGCGATAACCCAAGCGGGCCCGTCATCAGAGTAACCCACGGCCGTTTCAGGAAGGCTATCTTGAGACTTCCATGATGCAAACTTGGGGACCGAGAACTTTGCCGGAGCTTGGAGGGATGCCTTGAGTGTGCCATAGTTGGTTTTCGTGGTCCGAAGTTGCTTGCCGTTCCACTTGATGGTTGAGACATGGCTAGATGTGAACACCTCAATATCAGTCGTAGTGTTGCTGTCTCCATTGACAGAGATGGTGTTCCCTTGCACGCTCGCTGAGCGAACAAGGCGTGGCCCTACGACAATGGCTTTGCTTTGTTAGAAACTGTCATGCCCAAACGAGGAATTATGAACTCACCAGTCTTATCCACGGGTACCTTTGGATCCTTGGTCAACGCAGGAACCCAAGTTTTGTACGCAGTATCACGATCGACAAGCACCACCCTTACATCGTTATCGAACCCCAACACAGTTGCACCCTCATGCTGGGTAAACCCAACCACCACACCATCATCTTGCTTATCGAAGACAGCCGTCTGATTTTTGCTGCTGGAAGCTAGCGTACCCTTCTTGGCACCCTTGAGATAGAACTCCCCGGAGATACCATTGGGAGTCCATAACACCAGCGTTGTCTTTTCGTCAATGACACTGTAGGTCAAGACCTCTGTTGTTGCGTAGAAAAGCGTATGCTTGCCGAAGTGGAAGTCGGCAACGAAGATTCTGCCCTCGTGACCAACGAGCTTGGGGCACGGTGCAATTTTCGGAACGTAAAAGCTTCCCAGGCTGGTCGTCACGTTGATGGCAAAGGTCTCAGTAGAGTCAGAAGACGTGGTGGCATGACGAAGAACATAGAATCGAGCACCAGTCTTGGGGTTTCTGAGCTCAGTGGTGAAGATATTTGTGTTGTTGGTGTAGTTGGTGCCGGTACCAATACGGTCCGTATAGGCAAGCTCACCAGCAGCACGAGTGAACAAACCCAGGTTCTTGATCTCGTAGTATTTGCTACCAATGTTGCGGTCTTCGGAGATGGCGGCGCCGTAGTCGTAGCTGCTACCCAAGAAGGGAGCCGCCAGCCATCCCCAGTTTGTGCCACCGTAGATCATGTATAGGTTCAGGATTGTAATGCGCTGAGCAATGTTGTCGCGGTAGTAGAAATTGACAAACTCGGTTCCAGTGCGTTCGGCACATCCTCCTGCTGGGCTCAGCCAGGGGCTCATAGCTCCTCCCTGAAACTCGGGCATGAAGGAGGGCTGGTTCGGGGAGACAAGCTGGAAGTGATCGTGGTAGTTGGACACGGCAAATGGTAGGATGTTGTTTCCGCATTCTTCTGTAACGCAGGACCAGCATTGTGGCTGGAATTGTTAGCGCGTCACACGAAGGATTCACGGTGTTGAACACTCACATAGCTGTCCAGACCGTAGATATCCACATCTCCTCCAGCGCCAACAGTGTCATAGTCTTTCGACCACGGACGGCCATTGGCGTTAGGAGCATTGTGTACACTCGGCACCACAATTCCATTTTCGATGGCATTCTCCTTCAGCTTTTCCATGTAGGACACGGCCTTTGGGTTGGGTATCTTGGCGTCCACATTCTTCCATTGTTCACCGTATTCGTTCTCAAGCTGGTACATAATAACCGTACCACCGCCAGTGAGCTGAAACGGCTTGACGAGCTTTGCCATGCCCGTCTGGTACGGAGTCCAGGCTTTGGTAAAGGCCGACCCATTAGAGCGTAACTCTCCGTAGGCACCTGTGGTAGACCAAAGCGCCAAACCTCCGGCATTCAGCTCGCCATTAATATACGGGCCTGGTCGTACAAGGACGTAGAGACCGACTTCCTTGGCCATCTCCAAGAAGCGGGTCAGGTTGTGTGCGCCAGTGCTGAAGTCAATTTGGTCGGGTGTCGGGGCGTGGAAACCCCAGTGGGTGTAGATGGAGATCATGCGCATGCCCATGGCCTTGACCTTTTCCAAGATATCTTGCCATAGTTCAGGAACCGGTAGTCGGAAGGGATGCATCTCGCCGCCAAAAAGGAACAGGCGCCCGCTATTGATGATGATGCTGTAGTGGTCCCATTGAATTTGGTCTTGGAGATCGTTGCCCTGAATAGGCCATGCTGAAGGTGCGTCAGAAGCTCCTAGCACGTACTGAAGACCTGACGATAGTAGCAAGAGGGCGTAGGCGAAGGACCCGAAGGTCTTGTTGGCAAAGAGCATTGCGAAGTCCCTTCTTGGCTGTCGAGTGTTCAAGCCGTTGCAAAGTTGCGGCTTTCCCGTCTCCAGGAGTTGGGGTCCCAGTCTGTATTTGAGGACTAGGAAAAGGCTACAGACGATGACGATCACTTGGCCTGGAGGGTCTCAGTCGAGGTGATCCCATCATGGCTTTTGGCTTTTTGGTTTGATTCCATCGGCTCGATGTGTCTCCTGTGGATACTGTACAGAGTGGCTGGGAAGTCAGGACTGCCGCATTGAGGTCATTTGCGATGGCCATCGTCGAACGAAATCGTGGCGCTTGTAGCAGAGTCGCGGTTGAAGAGGAGCCGACCAGTTTGGTTGTGCAATGGTGGACGGGCCGCTAATACGCGAATACAAACGGGGACGAAATGATTTGGGGAATTATTCACCACTGTTCATGACGTTGCTCCTTCTCGAAATGGGATCGTGGGGTAACAGTGCCGTTGTCGCTTCCCCGGATTTTGGAGAAATGCCAAATGATGATCGGCGTTGGTCGGTGTCCTTTTCCGACGATTTATCCGCCTGGTTTTTTTTTTGTTGGTTTTTTTGTTTGTTTCTTTTCTGGTTTTCCTTTCGTTTTCGTTTTTCCGTCTTTGTTATTGAAATATTTCAGAAGCACATTTATCGAAAGGTAACTTCTGGTGATTCCTCCTTTCCTCACAACAGATGGAGTTTAAACCGACCTCCAAGTCCCCCCTTCCCCTCACTGATCCAAGCTTCTCTTTCGGTCAGCTTTTACCCGAAGACCGAATGCCCTATTGTTTATCTATTGTCTTTTACCTAGAACACTGATGACAACCTCTGTTCATCAAGAGTTTTGTTCTTTGCTGTCTAGCCTCAAAACTGGACCAGTCTTTCTTCAGGATATGGTACCAGACACCAAAGATGCATGCTTTTCCACCCAACTTTTCGTTCTGAATTGTCCAACTAACTACTCAACACCCAAACATGTGTAACAAGAAATCTTGACAAATCTAGCGGCTCCCAAACCAGAACCGAGAAGGGTATCTAGCACTAAATGCTGTGTCAACTACCGGGTATGCGATCCGTAAATGCGCGCGCAAGACATGCTAGATAGAAAGAAAGAAAAGAAAGGAAAGAAAAGAAGCAGAAACAGAAAACATTTTCATGACACATGAGACCTCCCATTCTTCAAACGCTGTGTCACCCTGTTAGGGTCTTCCCTCCTTTGATTTTGTGCGCTCCTGCACGTCGTGACATTGTAGTCCAACTCGTCTTCACCAGCTTTGTTTTGCCCACTTGAGCCTCCATCGTAGTAACAAAGAGCACCCCTCTTACGGGCCCTTGTCAAGGCATCATAGCCACCCGCTTAAGCTGCGAAAGAGCTCTCACCGCCCCTTGTTCTCAGCAGCTCAAATCAGAGCAAGAACCTGGTCATGACTCTCAATCCTTTCGAGCCTTTCACTCCTCGCATCATTACCCTGTTCTTGCTGCTGTTGCTCAGGCTGCTGCTGCTGCTGACCATCTTCCTCTTGCTGGCCTTCCGGCTGCGCTTGCAACATGTCTTCTGTTTGCCCTTTCTGCTGCTCCTGTCCCTCCTCGCCCTGCCCCTCTGGTTGCCCCTCTTGCTCCCGTTCCTGATGGTCATTGTCCTCACCTTCAGGCTCATCCCTATAACTCCTTGTCTCAAAATTCTCCACCCCCGCATCCTCATCGGCATCAGGCTCATCCCTATACCTCTCCACCGCAAGTACCCCCTCTCCAAGATGGCTCACACTTTCAAGGTCGTCATTCCTCACAAACAGTCTCGCCGTCGCGTCATTATCCACATCACCAGCGCCCACCACATCCACCGCCGTTCGGCGTTGCTGACGGTTGGACCACCACTTGGGTGCCTTGAAAGTCGGTCGGGCGCACAAGTTCCTGGGCCGCGAGACGAAATCGTACCAGGGGATCTTGGGCCTTGAGGTTGGGCGGAGGCGGCTGCTGCAGTTGGGGCAGTTGGGTGGCAGGGTGTGCCAGGCAGCGTACTGGACTAGTGGGTAGAGGGCTAGACCGATGGCGAAACCGCGGAGGGCGAGGTAAGTGTGGATTAGGCTTCTCAGAGGGGAGAGGGCGGATGTTAGTTTTGTGTCTTTAATAAGACTACACCGTGGAGTTCAGAACAAGGGTGGGACAACTTACAAGTTTGCCAACAAAGGAATGGTAGCGTAAGCAGCCAACATGGCCAGCTTACCGCCCAAGACGGGGTTGATGATGCCCGTCCTGCCCTTTTGCGTGTTGATCCACGTGAAGACGAGGACAACCATGACGCCCGCAGCCAGGATGCTGTCAACCAAGAAGATGAAGATGGTGTGAGCGTACAGAGGGGTCTTCTTCTCCTTTGCCTCTTCCTCCCATGCGGGTGTCTGCTCCGCTTGCGATCTTTCCGACGCCGCATACCCTGGCTCTTCTGCGCCTCCTTCGATGAGTGGTTGGCTCGAGCTGATCCCAGCCTCATCTCCATTTCTGACGGACTCGAGATCGTTATCTTCCTCAGCATGTCCGATACTCCGACGATTGTTTTGCTTGCGCTTGCTGCGGCGGCGATATGTTAAGAGCAACACCGAATAGCCAGCGGAGAGGGCCATGGGAGCAAAGCCAACAGCTGGTATGGGGTTATGTGAGAGAACGCCATGAGTGATACACAGTGGGAGAGAGGGGATGAAGGTTATGGCAGTGAGGATGCGCAACAACGGTTGCGTGTCGCTGTCGCTCATCGTGATAGCAGCGCTCTAACAGCAAGTGGAAAGATCACGAGTAAGAAACAAAATATGCAATGACGTTGGCGCCTGACGCCGGTGGAACTTGCGAGTTCCTGTGTGATCAGCTTCTATTCAGAGAGATGAAGCAACTATGAGTGGTTGAGAGGAAAATAAGAAATGAAAAACTAAAAAAAATTCAATAAGATAAGCTGAAGACGAGCGAGCAGAGAACCCGATGAGAAGAGGGGTTGACATGTGGTGTTCGTTGGCACCTGTCGAGCTAGTGTGTGTTAGTGTTAGTGTCGGTTGCTTCCTTATCAGCGCCAGACCCTGGACGTTGCAGTGAATGGAGCTTATCGCTGGCCGCTACGGTGCTCGTAGCGCTCCACAGTGGGGATTATTGTCACGTCATTGGCTTTGCACAATCCGAGGAGCCGAGCTGGGAGATATCGCGAGGGCACGTGGGTAGAAAAGACCCAACTTGACTTTCATCCTCTCCAAATATTCCATCTTCATTCTGATAGCTTACAGATCATTACTTCCGACGTCCTGCCTCTCTTGGGGCTTTATGATCAACGTAGGCGCAACTCTCGCTCCTCGAGCACGTCCTCAAATTGTCCCCCCGCTACCCGCCTCCACCGTGGATCGACAGTGAAAGTCTCGCAACAAGATGTCACGCGCTCATATATCCATTTTCCACCACTGTGCTCAACCGGCTGAAGCAAGAGGAACCCGGCTGAGACCGTCTTGTTCAGGGAGTCTACCGTCTTTGCAAGGAGCAGGGCGACAAATTTGTGTTCCCTTCCCTTGAGCGCTGCTAGTATATTCGCTGGGATGTTCTGAAAAGGAATACACCACCTAATAGGAGAGCAGAACCGCGGGTCAGCATACACCCAAGGCAAACCTGCCCCTGCAAGAGAAACCGTAACGTCGAAACACGTTCCCTTAATATCCAGAAACTTCGGGTTCAAGCCGAGGGCCGAGTTCTCGAGAATTCTTCCTGCATCTTTCTCCCAGTCCAGGTCCCTCTGGTGGTCCTCATACACTGCGCGGACAGCACATTTCGTAAACTGAGAGTTACCGTATGGGTTGCTCACTTTCAGCACACGCCCGTAGGTGCTTTTCCATCCAACCCATGACCAGCTTGGGAAGCCACTCCTCCGTGGTCGTATTAACCTTTTCGACGAGAACCCAACCTTTGGCGTGTCGATGGGTCTGAGATCCCACTCTCCGGCCCATAAGAGACTTCGGGTGAGAACGCTCGGTTCGCAGAAGCTCTTATGCTTCTGGTTGATTTCGCCATCAACTCTTGTTCTCACATCACCCGGTTGATGCACGGAAGTTTGGGAAACCAAAGGCAAGCCACACAAAAAGGCAACATCGCTTTCTTGGCTATTCTCTGTCCGATACATGTTGAAGATGCCGCTGATTGCATCTAAAGCATCACGTTCGAACGAGAGGTTCCGCTCCAAAAACTCGGTGATTCGATCCCAGACGGTACTCGCGTCCTTGAAATCGGCAGGCTTTGGAAAGACCGGGTCCCTGGAAGTCAAAATTCGTCGGTGTGTTGATGGAGCCTGACTTTCTTCACAAGTCATGGACTGACATTGGAAGAACACTTGGTTGTCGGTAAAGACAAGTCGCCGCTTGGAAAGCAAGGCTTCTTGGTATGTCCAACCTCGAGTGCTCCACGACGAAGCTCTGATATCATTGCCTGGCTCGGTATGCAGCATCAGCGATAGGGGGCAAGCACTATGCTTGACCCACGGTTGCAAATTGCGTCCTCTCGAGCCGACTCCCGGTAGCCCGTACTCCGCGTCTTGCCCAGCTGCCGCAATTATAGTCATCGCTGAACGGGCGTAAATTGTGCCCATAAGCTGAATCTGGATGTGCTTTGCTTGCTTGTTGCGCTGTGGGATACAATATCTGTCCACCCACAGGTACCTGAATCCCAGTTCTTTGACTACTTTGACGGAATCCTCCACGACCTTGGGTAGATGAATGGGAAGCGATGAAACCGAACCAGCCTCCTCGACCCTCTCGTCTGTGCTGCCTGAAGATTGCCCCCATACATAACTTAGTGTCACGTACACTTTGCCAACAGCTTCGGAGGCCGGTATGATACGTCGGGCCATACAGTCGATGAACCGAAGCCCTGGGATAAGATCGAAGCTTGGGAGGCTGTCGAGGCAATTGTTTCCGTGGAACCTGGCACAGCCATCAAGCCAGTCCGCAATGAACCTATAGTTTTTCAGGCGTGGGTATACCCTCCTCTTTTGATAGATCTCGTCCAGGTGGGGAGAGCCCGGAAATCTGGCGAGGGCGGGCTGAATAGAAACGGGAGGGCCAGTGTCGAACGAATTATAGTTAGGTCGGGGGCCGACGAAATCCATGGTATTCCAACCGTTGAACGGGTCTTTGAACAATACGAGACTTGTTCTGTTTGAGAGGCCGAAACCTTGGCGAACGTTAAAAGCATGGAAAAATGCACACATAGGACATGTATCCATGTTGGCCCAGGCAATCCTTCTTCCTTGGTTCGGAGGGCCAAACGGGCCAATCTTGTCAAAGTCGATGCCCATGCATTTGTTGCAATATCGTGAATGAGTAGAGGCGGATTGATGAACGATATTTTTCCTGTAGATAGACCGTCTGATAGCATCTCTTTCTTCTATCCACTGCGCGAAACGCTTTTCTGTCCACCGCCTGAAAGCTTCCCTTTCTTCTGTCGTCAAGGGCCTGGTAGCATGTGTTTCTTCTCTCCGCCGCCTGAGAGCATTTATTTCTTCTGTCCACCGCCAGAAAGTACGCCTATCTTCTGTCGTCCACCGCCAGAAAGTACGCCTATCTTCTGTCGTCCGGTATCGTGGATGCCTATGATCGATCTCTGGTATCTCTTTAGGTGGTTTACAGTAACAATGTACTCGTCTGCTTTCCCCAGAGATAGCTATGGCATCATCTGCAGGCATTAAAATCAGCTCGCTATCAACCCCTTGATTTAACTCTGAAGTATCGTCCATCGAGCGTCGTTCGCGATGTTCAGGTTTTATCACGAGTCCGGGAAGGCTAGGTGGTGGGCAGATCCAGTCCGGTAGAGATTGCCAATCGGAACCATTTGACCAGATAGTTGGCTCGCTATCAAACGATTGGTATGAATACGAAGCATCGTCCATTGTGCGTCGTTCGCGATGTTCAGGGTTTGTAATGATTCCGGGAAGGCTAGGTAGTGGGCGGATAAAACCGGTAGGTTAAAATCACGGCTTCAGGTAGGAGATAAAATGGACAAAGTCAGTTTGGGGGCATGAGCTGGTCAAGATGGCGCAGCGCATCCTGATGGGAGTTGGCCTCGACGTGGTCAGTCAGTGAGCCGCACAAATAACAGACCGGGAGGGAGATCATTGGTTGACATGGAGGTCAGGTTGTTGTCGCGTACGTCGAACACGTGCTTGCTCCATCAAAGCTGTTGCTGCGATTTGCTGTCATCGAATTTTGGAGGTTGGCAAGGCTTTCTTGTCCTCTCCGTACACCAGCAAATCCCCAAAGTAAACAAATCCCCACGGCCTAGTCTGTCCGGTGATGAAACGCCTAACAACTTGGTTGGTCAATGACTTCTGAGATTTAGGCACGGCGATGCCCGATCAGCCATGATATCGTGGCGCAAGTCGTTGGGAACTACTCCAAGCACACGTGGTTGGCCAAGACAAGTCCACGGCCGGTCTTAGGCTGCATTTGTTCTGGTATGGTTGTCGTATGAATGGCTTTGTGATATGGATGCATTCGCCCAAATTAGTCTAGAGAGTAGAAGAAGAAGAAGATACACGCGGGTCCTGCAGTTCCGCCAGTTTTAGGTGAAGAGTCACAGCTTCATATGGCCATTGCAACTGGTTTTCCAGCGTTGCTCACGGTTGATGGGTTAAATGAAAGGGAGTGGGTTGGTTGATCAGGCTGACTAACGGTTTACTACCGTGACCCACGGTTAAATACTGTACACCAGAATCCATACGTATGCCCCATTGCACCTTCCACCATTTCTGTACGAAAACTGTACAAAAAAGTGATCATTTGGTCGGTTGTCGTACAGAAATGTAATTTGCAACCCCATCGAATCAGTCTTCGCCGGGTTAGGGTTATATATAGCTAGAAAGCCGCACATTTTCCGCATAACCGTACAAGACCACCAAGATGCACACCAGCCCTAAAACGGAGTATTTACCGTACACACGCGACCGACACCTTGTGAATGCTACCTATATGAACTCTAAGGAAGTTGAGGAATTTAATGTAGCATAGGGGGTAATAGATGGTTGTACGGTGCATTTCAAAAGCGGCCCGAGCTTTACGGTATGGAGCTATACGTACGACCACCTCCTCTGTACGGCAACCGTACCAAAACAAATGCGGCCTTACCTCAGCCCTACAGTACCCAACCTGGGAATGCACTCAAAATCTCGAACAATTTCAACCCGTGCCAAGGCTGCCCACCGCGACAAACAGAACCCTTCTTTTGCTTCTTCGAGGCTTCCAAAACAAACACCAGATTTTAGCCGAGTTTGCTAATTGTGCGCCTCAAAGAGATGTTTCCACCCAGATGGGCTAGTTTGCTGGACGCTCATTGGCACCGGCAACCGAAATCACGTAGTTCATGCTTCATGCATGTAGACCCTGCTGTGTTGGCAGCCTCTCATCCACATGGCTAGGCCGAGCGCCCGGTACCTGGCATTGGGTACTCCGCAATCCCAAGATTCCCAACCTCGTCTTTTGATGTTTTGATTCGGAAACCACAAGAATGGCCAGATGGGCGGTGTCCGCATAAACGTCATTTTCCAAGATCATACCCAACCTTATTCAGGTAGCCCAAGTCCGAATTCTGGCCCACCGCTTCTTCAAGATGTTCTTTTCAATATCTGCAATTTCATACCACCACGGCAACAGCTGGATCTGTATGCCCTCATTCATTGTACGCCAAATAAGAGGTCCCTGAGGAAAATCCGAAGCAAAATGGCGGTCTCCCGCCCGAAACGATCACTGGCTCGCCGAGCGGTCGCCTTTGTGAAGAGACTCATTCACAAGCATCCGGTTCCTGATCTGTCTCTGCCTGTCCCCACAGCAACACAGGCAGCGTCCCGACCGGACAAGAAAACCATCCTGAAACATCCAGCAAAGAAGGACTTTCTGAAACAAATTGTGCCCGAGGCGGTTAACGACTGCCCGTTGCCGTCCTTTGATCCCGGCATCTTTCACAGTGAGTTGCTGGACCTCAAGCTGTATCCGGAGGTCGACCCCAATGATCCCAGAAAGATCAGGGAGCCAGAAGGGAATGTCCGTGAAGGAACCTATCTGGGTACACAGCTCGCCTTAACACAGGCATATGAGCGTGTTGAACAAACGTGAGTTGGCATCACCGGTGATGGTCACATGCATGGGGCGGTGAATATTGCCTGTCAAGAGGAAATTGCATGTGGCTGACTTCCATGTCTAGGTTCAACTCTCTTTTTGATGTTCTCGGTATTGAACCCACCTTTCCTAGATACGTCTCACTGGAGCAGCAAAGGAACATCTACCAATTTACATCCTATCCCAACAACGCGGACGGAACTCCTGCCGACTTCCCACCACATCTTCAGCATATTCCTGTGGATCAGAACCACACGGTCTTTGGCGTCTTCAACAATGCCGGTCTGCTCGAAACAGCAGTCATCTTGCAGAAACTCATCCCGGATGAAGATGGATTTATTGGACGGACGAAGCAGTGGTTGCTGGAGAAGGCTCGCGCTGCTGCGTATGGAGGTGAACCGGAGAAAGGCATCACCATCCAGGACGTTGAGGACTACAACAGGTTTCATCGCAAGGTAGGCACCGACATTGCTGGTGGCGGCAACATTGGCCTTCTGGACGACTGGTACAGCGACCGACGCTTCGCCGAACAGCAGTTCACCGGTACCAACCCCACGACCATCACGCAAGCCGGGAAGCAATGGATCGGCGAGTTCCTCACTGCCGCGAGAATCGGCGGCTACAACGCATGGATCTCAGCTCTGGAGGCCGCAGACCCCGCCTCTCTCTTCGTCCAAGACGGGAGTTACTTCCGCGACGCCGTCGGTGTCACCGACCCAACCGCCGTCCTCCAGCACAAGCAGCCCGGCAGCAACGACAACTGGTGCGTCGGCGCCGTGAGTCTCTTCCAACTGCACGACGACGGCAAGCTGCACCCGGTCGCCATCTGCATTGACTACCGCGGATCCATGGAGCAATCCGTCACGCTCTTCAACAAGCGCCTGACCCCTCGGGACTCGACCAAGACCGAAAAGACCGACTGGCCCTGGCGATACGCAAAGACCTGCGCCCAAGTAACCGACTGGATGCGACACGAGCTGGCCGTCCACCTCACGCTCGCCCACCTGGTCGAGGAAGCCATCATCGTCGGCACCAACCGGTCCCTGCCCATGGAGCACCCCGTCTACCGCCTTCTCTCGCCGCACTGGTACAAGACCCTCTCCGTTAACGCCGCCGCCCGCGCCACTTTGGTCCCCCAAGTCATCGTCGACATCGTCGGTATCTCGCCTGAGCAATGCCACTCCTTCATCCGCCACGCTTACGACACGTATGACTTCGTAGCCCATTACGTCCCCAACGACCTCGCCCGCCGGGGATTTCCCAACACAGCCGAGGGTCTATCCTCCTCCACCCGCTACAGGAACTACGCGTACGCAAAGGACGTGCTCGCCCTCTGGACCGTTCTGAGATCATACGTCGCCGAGATGCTCGCCCTCTCCTACCCCTCTGACGAATCCGTCGCTCAGGATCGCTACATCCAGTCCTGGTGCAAGGAAATGCGCCAGGGCGGCGCGCACATGTCCTCGTTTCCTGAAATCAGGGACTTGGAGTCCTTAACGGACGCAATAACCATGTGCATCCACACCGCCACCTCGTTTCACTCGGCCGTTAACTATTTACAAAATTTCTATCTGGCTTTCGTCATTGCTAAGCCGCCTATGCTTTGTACTGCCCCGCCTACTTCCCTATCGGCCTTGCAACAGATGAAAGAGCATGATCTTGTGGCTTCCTTGCCTATTAACAGGCAGCGCCAATGGTTGTTGAGTGCGCAGGTACCGTGGTTGCTAAGCTTTAGGACACCGCAGGATCGATCGTTGTTGAATTATGCGGCGAGTATGTGGCGGGTGTATAAGACGAAGAAGGGGAGGAGGGAGAAGATGGTTGCTGAGGCTAGTGAGAGGTTGTATGCGAGGTTGAGGGAGACGCAGAGAGTGGTGTGGGAGAATTCGAAGTCGATGGAGAAGGGGAGTTTACCGTATATGGTGCTGGATCCGGGGAATACGGCGGTTTCGATTTTGATTTGATGGTTGGTGTGACTGGATTCCTGGGGAGGTTTTCTCTTTTTTGTCCGATGTTGCGTTCTTATCCTTTTTTTTCGATTTCTTGTTGTCTTTGAAGTTTCTTACAATGTTTTCTAATATTGATGGATATGATGTTGACGAACATAGAAAGAAAGATCTTGGGATCATCATGGGAGGATGTTTGGTTGCGATTGCGTACGGTCGGAGAGGTTGTCTATTTTCATGTTTTTGTATACCGCTCTGAATATTAGCAGAGAAAGAAAAAGGTGCTGGTCACCACTCTAGATAGTTGTCATATCGTCATAATCTAATCAATAGTTTTCCATCAATAAGGAGCAGACATGAAGCCATCACCACATGATTGTTTACTTCCACTCAGGGGGGAACTTTTAGCAGTATCGCATTCCAGCGCATTTCCAGCAGCTGTCTTTCAGCGCTCTTCAGCGCTTATAACTAAGCCCCACTTTACAAGTCCCCTAGACCGCCAAGCCATGCACCAACGTCACACTGGCTCCAAACGATCCCCACAAAATTTTTGTTTCTGTCCTTCGGTCGCCTCCACTGAACCTCAAGTCCAGATCTGCTGAGTGCCATCTTATCTCCAACCTTCCATCCCACCCCGTCCTCCGCCCATCCATCCTTTGCGACCTCTTCCCGAACTTCTCGTCTTCTCACCCGCCGTTTTTTTTCTCTTTTCCGCCCTTGTAAATCAACCAATTCAAGTAACCACCGCCCACCATGCCCTCCGTCAAGAACCCCAACGGCCCCTCCAAGAACCGCCTGATCGCGCGCGCCGCCTCCCTGCGCAAGCAGCGCCAGCGCGAGTCGGCCCAAGGCAAGCTGGAGAAGATCCACAAGATCACCAAGGAGGACCTCGCGCGCGGCGCCCGTCCCGGTCTGCTGCCCAACAGCGGACCTCGCAAGGCGTTGGGCAAGAAGGCGCAGCGCAAGCTGGAGAAGAAGCTGGGGTATGCCATCCGCCGCAAGATGGAGCGCGAGGGACTGAGTAAGATGGAGGTGGAGAAGGTGGAGGAGATGATGGGTATTGGTAAGTAGAGTATTTTGTTCTGTCTAGTTCTTTCCTGGGGGGGTATGAGGGGGAATGGGGAGACGAGGGAGAGGAGGGAGAGGAGGAGGAGAAAAAAAGAAAAAAAAAAAAAGTAGCTTGCGAGGGCTTGCGCTAACAGGTTTGCGACAAACACAGGCAAGACCAGCAAGAAGAGCGCCGAGACCGAGGAGATCGAAGAGACCCCGGCCACCAAGGAGGTTGAGATGGATTTTTCCTAAATCATCATCGACTCCCAAACGAGTTACCACACCACCACCACCACCATACCGACATAACCATGCATTTACAACAACTGGCGTTGGGGGATAATACGGGACCATCAAAAAGGGACGATATGCGAGACAGAGAAGAAGAAGAAGAAGGGGAAACCATGGTGCCATCAGCAAGAAGAGAAATTATTGGACAGCAATTGCCTGAAGAAGAAGAAGGAGAGGAAAAGGATCAGCGTTCATCAACAAGATACCCTTGGCAGCAGCAGCAGCAGCAGCAATGGAAAGAGTGGAAAGAAGAAGAAGAGGAAGGCTTGGGTTGGTATCTATGGTACAGATACGGATGATTACTACCCTGTTCACCAGCCGGCCAGCCAGCCAACCAGTCATGTGCTGTTTCAGCTGATATCTCGAGAGATTCTCGAGAGCCAATGGATGGATGGAGCTCTTCAAGTCCTAGGTGGTCATGTCCCTTCACCTGTCTCTTATACCTCTCAACTCTCCCTCGGCATAATGTTCATCGAGTCAGACTGCGAGATAACTCCGGGGTCTTCAGTGGCTCTATCATTACGATCATCCATCCATCCGCCACACCCACACTCTCGTTGGGGAACGGCCAGGGAACGGCCATTCATCCGGCAGTTCTGGTCGTATCCCCGTGGTTGGTGGTGGTTCTTTCAGCAGCCTCATTTTGCTTGAGTGAGCCAATGGAGGGATCAGTTTGGAGGATCTGTTAGGAGAAAGAACCGTGAGACACACAATGTGGTCGACGAGATGCATACCTAACCATGGCGATTTTCTCTGCTAGGATCCATGGAAGGTTGCGTTTGGGTTTGGGTTGGCAAAAAGGAAGGAAAGGCGAAGGTTACCACCCATACCCACTAGACTAGTCAATCAAAATCGCATTCAAAGAAAACTTGTCGTTGTTCAGCGCAGTCATGGTTTATGCAGATGTGATTATTCTGTCTGACAAGTAACACTACTCTACCACTATATATATATATGTATACAATCTCCTCGAGGCCTTTCTAACCTCCATTTTTCAGACCTCCCCGCCATATATACACAGTACAATACACTAGAGACGTTCCTCTTTTCCATCCATCATTCTCCTCCTTTCAACAACGCAACGCTCCTCCTCCTCCTCCTCCTCCTCCTCCTCCTCCTCCTCCTCTTCCTCCTCTACAACCCAAATTTCGTACTAAAAAGCGGAACACCTCCCTCCCTCTCTAGCTAGGGCTCCTTGAATGGGTATGGGTATCATGCGTAACGTGATCAATGCTTGTAGGTAAAAATACATGCCAAACAAACCTCCAGTGTAGTGTAACAGAGTAAACAGTATCAAAACAAAAAAACAATCTAGGCTCTTTCTTCCACGGTACATTGATGAAATGCTGAAGCCCAATCGATGTCTGTGTGTGTGTGTGTGTGTGTGTGTGTGTGTGTGTGTGTGTGTGTGTGTGTGTGTGTGTGTGTGTGTGTGTGTGTGTGTGTGTGTGATCACTCTAATACGAATGGTTGAGAAATACCACAACCACCTAGCCAAGCCCGTCAACACCTGGGAAAATGCGAAAAGAAGCAAGCGGAGAGAAGAAGAAAGAACGGAAACCCCCTCCGAACCGCGAAAAAAAAAAAAGGAAAAAAAGGAAAAACGAATTGCTAAAAGCATGAAGGAAAGAAGAATGCGAAAGGTTGATATGATGTGATGGAGGTAGAAAGCAAAATATAACAAAAGGAAAATAAAGAATAAGAACAGAAGAAAGAAAAGGAAGGAAGAAAGAGGTAAGAAGGAGGTTAAGAAGATTGCACGCTCTGCCTGCGTGCGTGCGTGCGGGTGCGGGTGCGGTGCAACAACACCTACCTACATTGGCTCACTCACTCACGCTGGCGCGACATTTCCTCCTCTAGCACCTCCATCAAGCAGCTCATCTCCCTCGCGTCGTCGTTGGAACATGCGCGCTCATCGTCTTTTTCTTCCTTCCTAATACTCCTAATACTCCTAATACTCCTAATACGACGATGCCGTCGCCGTCGTTGTTGCCATCTGACCCGTCGGCGGGGGCCCCATGTTATTATTATGATTATGATTATTGTGATTATGGTTGTTCCTCGGCGCCATAGCCTCCGTCAGTGCCTGGAGCTTCTGCACCAACAGCGTTGTCTGTTGGGTATTCTTCTGCACTTGCTCTCTCAGCTCCTCGTTCTCTTGTCTAAGGCGCTTGACTTCCTCTCGCAACTCGGATGTCTCACCACCGCCAATGCCAACGCCAAAGTTGTCGTCAAAATCGCGATGACGCCGTTTGCGCTTTAATAGAAGCTGGTGGGAATGGGATTGGGGTGGTTGTGGTTGTGCTTGTGCTTGTGCTTGGCCTCCAAACGAGGTGTCGTCACTGGTGGCTTCGTCGGACTCGTCCGCGGCGCCCACATTGGCATTGATGCCGCCGCCGTTTGGAAGGATCATGCCTATCCCGCCGTTTGTAGTACCGTCTGCGCTGTGGGTGTGTACCCGCCGGAGATGCTCGTTTAGGTTTTCAAGCCGGGAGAATCCCTTGCCGGTGGCGCGCTTACAGCTTTCGTGAGGACAGTGCAAGGGGTTTTTGGGGCCGCCATGCTTGCCGTGAACTTCACGTTCGTGACGCAGAAGGCCGCCCGAGTAGGTGAAGCCTGGTAGCTTCTCGCAGCCTACGGCGCCACATTTGTAGGGACGGTCGTGCTTGTCCATGTGTTTACTTTGAGAATTGTAGTTAGTGACTGCTTCTTCTTCTGGGGAAGGGGGTTGATCAAGGAAGAGGAAAACTTACTTCCATTCGCATTTGCGACCAAATTCTTTGATGTCCTCCGCGCATCCAGGCCACATGCAAACAAATTTGCCTTCGGCATTCTTGGTCGCCTGACGAACCGGCTTGGGGATAGGCTTGATTCTCCCCGATGGTGCTGGCGTGCTCGGCGACTGCTGCTCCTGTTGGGTATGTGAAGGTGGCGATGGCGCGGCTGGTGACAAAGGCTGCGTTATTTGGGCAACTAGTTGTGGAGGTAGCAGAGGGTGTACAACACGAGACTGCTGCTGCTGCTGCTGCTGCTCCAGTGGTGGAGTCAACTGGATAGGCAAGGAAGCTTGAACGGCCAGTGAGCTCGAAACGGGTACGTCTACTGTTGATACCGGGGCCGGTTGAGGTTCGGGTTCCGGCGCCGAAGCGGCGAGGTAGTCATTGAGTCGGGGATCCGTCTGAACGGCGCCGAATGCGGCCCCTGCGGCGGCGGCGGCTGCATGTGCGTTGCATGTGGCACGGGCAACTTCCACCAAGTCATTGGATAGGTCGCTCACAACGACATCATTGGCGTTTGTGAAGCGATCAGTGTCGCCGGGTGAGCCATGGTGTTGCTCGGTGAGTTCTTGATGATTGTTGGAGTCGTGGGGGTGGTGAGCGTCATGAGCTTGTGGGTGAGGGTCATGAAGGGAATGCTCCAGTTCTTGTTGCTGGGTTTCATGGGTGGTTTGTGAATGGTGTTGTTGATGATGAGAATCATGCGTGATGTGGTCATCAATATTCGGGTAATTCTCGTCCTGGAATAATTCCCGCTCTTCACCGTAAACGATACTCATGTTGTCGTTAACTTGAAGTTTCACCGTGCGCGACGGTGAACTTGAACACGGTCAGACAGACGACTATATCGGCTTCTTCCTTGTAAGTCAGCCGCCAAAGACGCTGTGAGTGGTGAGATGCTGATGGCTTATATGTCGAAACTCTTGAGGTACTCTTGTGAGAATACAAGGTTTCAACAGCCGATCTTTAATAGGCCGCCAGTGTATAATCGAATCTGGATATTGACCTTGCCCTCCGCGGTTGGCGGCGCACCTTCTCTTACACCCCTATTTGTTGATACTGTATCAATGTCAATATTGGCGCTGGTTGGACAGGCGACGGAGGTTGATACCTCAGGCAATTAGAATTTTGCTTCAGGTTGTGAATTTCGACGTCCGCGTGGGCGCGCGCTGTCAAAATTTTGGAGGGGTTCGGGTGTTGTGGCTCGGTTCCCGGCCCGCCGATGCACGACACGTGCCAAAGGTGGTATCTGACAGCTGCTGGACAGCTGCAAGATTTGGGGCTGAATGCTGAAAAGAGGCCTCCCACGTGACTCAGCTTCTGTTAATGTTAAGTGTTAGTGCAGCTTGTACTTTTCCAGCTTGCCCTGAACAACAACGATATATCGAACTTCTTCATGATGCTCACCTTGATGATGGCATAACCTTCTAGATATATCTCTTTTGACATTAATGAGAAGGCCACGGAAGTGAGTCGCAACCCGGATGCTGCTCACTCAGGTATCATGGAAACCAGACCCTACTTTCGAGGCAGCCGTGAGGTTTCCATTGCTTCGTGGTCGCGCGCCTCATCACGGAAAGTGACTCACTGGGGTATCACGCACCATGGTCCCTGGCTGAGAGTAACGAGGCGACATCGCCAATGGTCAAGCTAGGTTGACAGAGCATGGCGCAAGGCTGCAGCATCCAATCGCAATATCTCGTGAGCTCTCCATCAAGTCGCTACCCAGCTCGCCTTCGCAAAGCATGGCCCAAACGTAGACCGTGGCTTCTACGATAGCCACGACGCTGTCTTGCGACATCAGCCTCATTCTCAGCAGCGGATCGTCTGTCTTGTCCAGTCGGATAGATGACTACCAAGCCATCCCAAACAAGTGATCTGCAATGCGAGAATGGCGACCTGAAAGAGAGACCAAGCTAATGTCGGTAGATAGGTCTAAGGCGACATATGCCATTGTATGCCCAGGCCGAGTTTCTTTTGACTGGCCTTCAGTTGGGACACCGAACTGCGGAGCGCTTGGGGCTGCTTCTCTTCCAGACACTCAGACGTTAGTAGAATGCAAATCTCCGCTGGCGCCTGATCGCCAACGACTCGCTTGTCGATACTAGCCTAGGAACCTGGTTGATCATACGGGATTTTCCGAGAACTAGGACGTATGGAGCACTTGCTGGAAGTCTCTTTGGGCGTACGAAGCAAACGCGTCCCTCAACATCAATCGTCATCAGATGCCCAAGATGTTACAGCCGAGTGTGGCTCTGCTATTCTTCGTACTTTGGGGAAGTACTGGGAAAGGGTTAGTCTGGAACAGGTTACCGAATGGACGTCACATCTGGCCGTTGCCAAGAGAGAGAGAGGGGGGGGGGGGGGGGGATGAAACTGCCCCTGGCCTAACCAACAAACTTGAGGCATCACATGTCTGGAGATGGTAACTGGGGTGACACTGACCATGTGAAAGTGCTCTAGTAGTAAAGGTAAGCCGCGTTGCTTAGCTTGCTGGCTGTATAGACAGACACTGCGCCGTACAGTGAAAGCTCACACCGGGGTGAGTGAGTCACGTATAACTTCCGAGTGATGATAGTGAGACTGAGCGGCTGCGGGGATGAGGAAAATGTACCATCGTGAACTTTATCTTTACGCGGGTCGTGAACGGGTGTGATTAGTCGTGAAAGCCATGGGCAGTAAGTAGTGTAGTGTAGCGCACATGCGTAGGTATGGCTGTGTCCATGCCCAACGATATCTCGCCGCAGCCGCTGCTTGACGTGACGCGTCTTGTCTCGCAGTGCCTCCGCGATTCACGGAAGGGGATGGTGATGTAGTAAGATCCCGGCGACGATCCAGGCAGCTTAGACAGCTATTCGGGCCATCCCGCGGTAACATGCCTAAGGTGGTCAGTCAGCACCTGCCAGACCCCGCGCTTTCGGTCAGCTATCCAGGGATGAGACCGGGATTTCCGTAGTAGGTAACTCCATTGACGGCGGCGACTGTGCCTTGATTAGCTTGACTGATGTGACAACAAACGTGATAATCGCTTAGCTAGTATTGCGTATTGGGCTGGGGGCAACTTGGCAAAATCGCCTGTGTGCTCGCTTAAAGGGGTTGCCTAATCCGCGGTGACAAGCTACGCAATCTCGTTGGTAATGTGCTCCCTGGCGAACATGGACTAAAGTGTCATATCAGTGTGAGGAACACAGAAAGCAGGTACTGTCACGACATCAGAATAGATGACCAAGCCTTGTCAACACTCAGTGATGTGAGAATTTTGACAGGTCTGTACAACCTGACGGCCTCGTCATGCGCAAGGGAAAGGCAGGACGGAGTTTATGGCACTTCCGGACCTCCGAATGACACCACCTTGTATCACTTCGCCCGTTGGTGCCTTCCCAATTGTGCGGTCACTTGCTGTCTTCTGACCGTGTTCTCAGGCGACAATACAAGCAGTCACAATGTTATCTCACATACAAAGAATGGGGCAACTCGCGAGTTCACCAAGCAAGCCTCATGAAATCAAGAAAACAATCACCTCCATTACATCAAGCATCGAGCTCAAGCTATATAAAACTATATAAACTAACTAAAACCAAAGAAAAAAAAAAAAAGTCGTTACTTCATATCATAATCATCATTTTTCTTTCACATCATCATCATTAAAGCATTATGATCATCAACCGTCCCGTCCGCTCCAACCAAAGCCCATATAACCATCCGTGTACTTGTATGCAGCCGTGGTCCCTCCTCCAATGTCTCCTTGTCCCCTTTCCCCATCCAGTCTATCTATCTATCCTGAAACCAAGTTCCCTTCATGCTGTTGTCCATATGATGCCATCTTTTTACGCTTCAGACGTATGTGTCCGACCAGTCAATGGTACGGACTTCTCTATACTTTTCTTTCACTTCTTCTTGAGATGGCCCAGCATCTTCACTTAATTTCCCTTGTACCCTAAAACGCTGTGGTTGGTCATCAACGGGACATGGGTATCCCTGGTCCCAGTCGTCCCTTTGCTATAACCACTGGCATTGCTCTCAGTGCTTCCGTGTCCGTACTTGTGGTAGTGATCCCTGTGCTCCTCCCTCCTTTCTTTCACATCCCTCTCCCTTTGTCTTCTTCCCGCATCATCTTCACTCCTCCTCCCCCGATGCACCACCGTCTCGGTCCCGGCCATAGCAGAGATCCCGGGGGTCCCGGTTCTAGAGGGCACCGGAGTACCATGCCTCGAAAACCCTGGCGTCCCCGCCCTGACGATACCGATCAACCCTTCTTTGAGTCTTGTTCCAAGTCCATGAGAAGAGGAAGAAATGCCATGGTGGGAAGGAGGAGGAACGGTAGGCGGAGCGCAGGTATCCCCGCAATCGACGTGGTGTTGGTCGTAGGGGATGCTGAAAGCCAGCATGTCCTCATGATCTTTGTCGCCGGTGACGGCCGAGGTGGGGGCAGACTCGGCGGCGCCAGGTCTCGCGCGTGAGGCGTTGATCGCGGCCATGACGGCTGGCGAGTCGTGTCCGTGGTGGCCCGAGTGTTTGCGTCTGTGGCCATTGCCGGTGTGATGATGATTGTGGGAGTTGGCGCGCTTGATGGGGAACGGGTTGGAAAGTTGTGGTTTAATGGAGTGCGAGTTGGAGCGCTTGGGCGGTTGGGGACGCATCGCTTGCGGTTGAGGTTGAGGTTGGTCAATAGATTCCCTTGTAGAGGGGGGACCGTAGGGCCCATGAGCGAATTCCTTGCTTAGTTTCTCGAGGACTTGTTCCCGGGCCTTTTTGAGGGCGGCGGCCCGGTCTTGCTCGGATTCGACGTGGGCCTCAAGGTCGGCGAAGAGGGAGGGGCCATCGGGATTGGAGGAGGTAGAGTCGCGGAATAGGAGGGTACCAACGGCACCGCCGCGTGCGTTTTGTGGTCCGCTGATGCCGAGGAGGGGACCGGTTTTGGAAGAGGGGTCGTAGACGGTTGGCGAGAGGACGGCGGGGGAGGGGTTGGCGTTGAGAATTGGGGCCGTGATGTTGAGCCGGACAGCCTGAGGAGTGTCCAGGGATGGACGTGGGGAGAGAATATGATCTTGCTCCGTCATCCGGGGAGGAGAGCGGGGAGGGGTGGGCGAGGCATAGCCGGGTGGTGGTGGTGGCAATGCTTTGTCTTTGTTGGACGCACTACCGGCAGATTGGGGAGGTGACGGTGGGAGTCGCTGAGCAGCAACTTGTGGTGGTGTGTGAGGAACGTTCTTGGGTTGAGGAGGTTGAGGTAAGTCCTCATCATCAGCGCCGTTGACTTCCGACATGGTCTTGAGTTCTGGCAAGGTCGGAAGAGTCGTGACCTTGTCATCCTCCGGGTAGTCTCGACGGTGATGACGATAGTGCTTGCCTTGACGAGAGCTCGAAGAAGAACGAGAACGGTGACGATCGCTCGAATCGCCACGGCGGGAGTAGTTGGTCTTGCTTCGACTGAGGCGTCCCTTGTCCTTCTCTTTCTCGCTGCTGCTGCGGTGCCTGCGCTCATCATCGCTGGCATGTTCGCGGCGCTCGCGGTTCCGGCGACGCGATCCACCGGTCTCCTCTCCCTCGGTGATGCTGTCATCTCCGTGATGGTGCTTCTTCGAGCCCTTCTTGCGGAGACGCTGTTTCTTGATCCTCGTGCTAACGGACACGTTGGTACCCATATGCAGACCAGCAACATCCACTTCCTCCTCGCGCTCTTCGCGAATCGTCGTGATCGTACCGCTCCCTCTTTTGTCGACCCTTCCACCATCGTGGATGACAGTATTAGTAGTCATACCACTCACAACGGCAGCAT